TTTAATTCACCCGTTTCGCCGCTAGATGGACGCCAATTTTTTAGTCCACAACCTGCACTATTTGTAACGTTTTGCTACTGCACATGGGGTCAAAGTTCAAAATTGACCGTTAATTTCCAGGACTTATAAGTCAAGTATAATTATTGATCTCGCTCAATAATTATAATCACATTAGAAATTTCAAAATTCCGTACTTTACACAAACTTGACACCGACACTGTTCCATACTTGCCTCCACAATGAACTAACCGCTTGTCAATCCAATTTTCTTTGCAGACTTCTCGAAGAGATCCGTAAGAACAGCACCCTGATCATAATCGGCGAAACGGGCAGTGGAAAGACGACTCAGATTCCTCAGCTGCTTCTTACTACCGGAATAGCTGGCTCTTCCGGTTGCATCGGTATCACTCAGCCCCGACGTGTGGCCGCCGTGAGCGTAGCGCGCAGAGTGGCTCAAGAGCAGGGCGTCGAAACGGGCAAATTAGTCGGCTATTGCGTTCGCTTCGAGGACGTCACATCCGCTCAAACTCGAATCAAATATTTGACGGACGGAATGATGGTCCGCGAGGCGATGACCGACGAAATTCTGTCGGATTATTCGGTGGTGATCTTGGACGAAGCTCACGAACGGTCGGTGCAGACCGACGTGCTGTTAGGTGTGGCTCGACGGGCGCAGAACCTGCGGAAGCTTAAGAACCTACCACCGCTGAAGCTGCTAGTCATGTCAGCGACGATGGACGTCGATAAGTTTGCCAAGTATTTTCAAGCACCGGCCGTATACTTGGAGGGCCGTCAGCATCCGGTGAAGATTTATCATGCCGTCAAGTCGCAGGAAGATTATGCGTTCTCCGCGCTTGTTACCGCCTTTCAGATCCATCGCGACAATCCCGCCAAGTAAGCGGCCGCCATCTTGTTTCTCTGCTTCTGGTATCGGTTTAAGCGAAGACGATCTACGCGTTCTTATTTAAGAACAGTTTTAAATGGAATTTAAACATTCGAAATTAATTTTTGTCTAGTTAAGTAACGATAAATACGAAACTTGACCATGTAGGATTTTTCACTGAAGGAGTTATTTAACACTAAACCTACCGACATATAATGTACACTTACTTTGAAATTAAAAATGAAGTTAAAGAATAAATGTACAAACGACGAAACATAAATTAGCACATACATTTATTCTTTATCTTGATGGAAATCAATGCTGATTTCAAGGAATGTACTTTAACAAAATGTGCACCTTATAATAAGAAATTTGTGGAGCGGTCATTTGACCGGTTTGGTAGTTTTAGTGTTAAAAAAAAGGTCAAATGGTCAGACTTGTTCTGACTCTGATAAATTATTACAAGTAACTGTGTACAGGAAAACATACTTTTTTGTTCCAGTATTAATTCTTTTAACATTATAGATTGTCTCTAATGAGCGTCACATAATTTTTAGTGAAATGTTTAACAATTGAAGAGCAAAGTATCGTTGCTATAAAACATATTCATGACTCTATAGTGGTTAAAAATTACCACTCGATCATTCATAAATTATAAGCAATCTTTAAAGTAAAAAAAATTCCTGCAAATAATTATCATTCGCTAAATTTTAATTTCGTATCACGATTAAAACGTCTGCAACATGTCTTCACAGTTCCAGCAGCAAGGTAAAACAAGAAAAAATTGTCGGTCTAATTTTCAACTTGACAAGTCAATTAAAAGACGTCGGTGTTTACGTACCGTTACTTTTATTAAATTAGAGAAGAGCTATTCGAAAAGAAAGTAGGTCAAAAGGAAACAAACAATATCCCGCATTTTTCTGTCTTCTCTTCAGCGAGGACATTCTGGTCTTTTTAACTGGACAGGAAGAAATAGAAGCTGCAGTCGCGAGCGCAAGGCAAGTAGCTAAACAATTGGACGGACAGGGATATTGT